TCATGGGAATTAATCCTAAATCTTAAATTAGTTACTAGGATTACACTTCTTATTCATCATTTAATCACCTAGAATAAAGCTCATCGCGTTAGCTATTCAACGCTTCAAACGACACCTCAAACAACATCCTGAAACTCAAGTTACAGCAATTTAAAACTGAATCTGTCAAAAATCAAACATTATGTATCGACACGAAACTCCTTGGATCGACGCAAACTGCTTCACCTGTACAACATGAGTCGACACAAAACCCTATGGATCGACTCATCCTGGCTTAAATCACAGCATGTATCGACACATGCTTCTCACCGGTCGACTCATCCTGAGTCTTGCAACTATCATGTATCGATGCAAGCCCTTCTTGTATCGACTCATCCCGAGTCTAACATCGTCCATGTATCAACGCATCAAGCTTGAGGTCGACACATCCTGGTTCCTCCTGTATAATTATGCGATTTCCTCTGTATTTTCACTACGGGAATCATATTCTTAACCTTACAAACCTTATTATAATCATGATAAATCATCACCTAACATTATCCTACATTACTACATCGATTACACAACATCATAACATCATTATTCTTCTAAAATTCATCAAATCTTCATCATACATCATCATATACATATCCAATTCAAGAACAAAACAGCAATCCTCTAACCCCACATGTCAAACATCATGAACCCAATTATAAAGTCAGAACCCCACCCTTACCGTGGATTGAAGGTCGCTCTATAATTTCTGGATTGAATCTTTGTTCTTGCCGTGTTCCACTTTTTCCAGCAGCTTCACGTTCTTCACAATCCTTATTTTTCCTTCTACTGTTCTTTCTTCTATTCTAACAACAAATAATAAAATAACCTAATATTCTATTATTCCTTAGTGGGCTCCAAACTTACACCCCCCTTATTACATCTACTATCTCAAATTAAGCCTACCTTAATAATATTACACTTCTAATATTATTTCACTACATAATATTATATCCCTAATATTATTTCTCCACTTAATATAATAAATCCAATTTAATTATAACACAACCTCACAAATATTCCAAAAAAAAATAATTTAATTGAATAATTAATTAAATTAAGGGTGTTACAAGAAACACCAAACCCTAGTTGAAGACCCTTGCTTAGGAGGTGAGTTTGTCTGGTCAACTCTTGAGAATTCTTGAGAAAATTGAGACCTCATGAGAATGTCTTGAAGAAAATGGGAGGGAAAATTTTAGGGTACAACAGAATTCCTTGGACATTACCATACTGTCGCAAACACCTCTCGGGCAATTGTATAGTAACTAATGTAACACCCCAATTCTACCCCGGCAATTATATAAATGAATCAGAGTTATAAAATCATTCATGCAAACGAATCGAGATGCCACAAATTCATCATCCAAACTCATTGCATTCATCGTGGATACGTAACACTTTAAACCATTGGATGAACCATCATCATAAAAATTAAATCTCTTAATTCAATAATTCAAACATCTACGCAGCGGAATTCTTAATAACATCTTTATCATTATTACAGCAACTTCAAAACAACATAATTTAATAATAATCAACTTAAAGTTCAACAACTGAATAATCAACAATCAAAAGCAACAAGTGTTCATCCCCCCGAGTGTTACATATCAGAGCAATAACACCGACTCGAACTACTGAGGGTATACAGCCTTCACTCTCGATTACCTGCACGTTACCAACATAAGGGTAACATTCAAACAGAAGGGGTGAGATATCTAACAATATAATAAAGCGCATGATAATTAATATATTAAATTAGATCACATAACATCATCACTTCTCATCTTATAATAAAAAATAATCACAACAATAATACACATTCATAACATCAATACACACTTCTTTATGCAATCATATAATGCGACTCAATACTATGAAAATGCATGTGGTACCATTGGAGCAGAACTCCCATCTCAAAAATTTCCAATTAATAGAGGCATCAAAAAGGTATAAGCCTTCTTCTCAATATTCGCCAATACAGGCCATCTCAACGAGCATAAGCTCCATCTCGAAATGCAATGTATGCGACACAATCATGAATGTAATAACAACATCATAATTAACAACATCTCAGTACAACATCTTCGTTGGCCAAAGGCCTACATCTTAAAAGCATCTCTTCATCAACATCATTTATCATCATAAATCATCAAACATCATTTATACTTCATAATTCATCAAAACAACTCTCATTAACATCATCTTATCAACAACTCAGCCGTACAATAATACACAGTAACTCATCAATTTCACAATGTTGGTCATAGGCCTATACAAGATATTGTCTATAATTAGTTAATCAACTAAGGCTTACTTCTAAATCACCAAATCTCTACATACTACTATTCTGTAATATTACATCATTATTATCATTAATCCTACTGTTACAAACCAGACAGTACTCTACAAACGTCTCATCCTCATCCTTCTTCACAAAAACCAACATAACGATCAACACAGGAACTAATTCAAATCCTATGGTTATCCTTCATATTCTTTATTTTAATAAATAAGAATGAAGTTCATCGTGTTAGCTATTCAACTCTTCGAACGACAACTCAAATGGAATCTGAAAACTCAAGTTACAGCCTGCTCAAACTGATTCTGCCAAAAACCAGACGACATGGATTGATGCATAACATCTTGGATCGACGCGTACTGCACTGAACTCGCAACATGAGTCGACGCATACTCTCTTGTATCAACTCATATTGAGTCTACCACACAACATGTATTGACACATGCTCCTTCGTATCAACTCATCCTGAGTCTAAAGGTCCTCATGTATCGACGCAAGACCTCTTTGTGTTGACTCATCCTGAGTCTAACATCGTTCACGTATCGACACATACCATTTGGGGTCGATGCATACTACTCTGTCATGGCTAATTTCTGTGATTTTCTCTGCGTTTTCACTACGGGTTCCATACTTTAAGCCCTAAAAATATAATCTAATCATAGATAATCATCACTTACAGTTATCCTATAATTCTACATCAAATAAACAGCATCGGGACATTATCACTCATCTTTCAATCATCAATTCTCATCATACAACAACATATACATTCAATTCATGAACAAGACAAAAATCACCTCTAAACCCATATACCAATTATGATGAACCCAATTATAGAGTCAGAACCCCACCCTTACCTTGGATTGAAGGTCGCTCTACAACTTTCTCCAATTGAATTCTCGTTCTGTCGTTCTTCCTTTTTTCCAACAGCTTCACGTTCTTCCTCTCAAACCCTTATTCTTTTACTGCTTCTTCTTTCTATTATTTCTAACAATAATAAAATAACCTATTATTCTCTTTATGCCTTAATGGGCTCAAAACTAATACACCCCCTTCATTACTTATATTCCTTTAAAACAAGCCCACATCAAATAATATTATACTTCTAATATTATTTCACCACTTAATAAAATAATTAAATCCAATTAATCACAACACATCTTCACAAATATTCCAAAAATAATTTAATTAAATAATTAATTAAATTACGGGCGTTACAACTAAGGTCTCCCATCGTATATAACCAAAAAATAAAGATGACTCATCAAACTGACAGTGGACTACGTGACCTGTGTATGGTGTCTAGATGACATCATATATTTTTATCACATTAAGCCTCCTCATGTACTCCATAACACCACCTGAATGTGCTTTCCTGACCTTCCATCTCCTCGCCTGTGGGGCACCCGACTCTGTGTGTTGCACCTTCCTGTCACAAATGGTGGGAAAATACTCGTATATCGAGAATTGATAAAAGATCACCGACTCAATAAATAATAATTAAGAAATGTTATTTGTAACAATTAAATAAGAACTATACTACAAATAATAATGTCTACAATATCTAGAATAGACTCAAATAACCAGCAAGTTATTTGGTCTCAAAGGCAGTTGCAACTTTAAGTGCTGCATATAGGATGGTCAATACAGCGCACCCCGAAGCCCAGTTGGTATCCTCAAGGTTACTGAATAACTACATGTACCAAGCATCAATATAAGCACCTGACTTTTTTGCAAAGAGAGTACATTCTACTAGATGTAGCATGTACACCCTATCGATAACCTCATACATTTGTGCCTCCACAAGCTCATGGTACCTATCCTGAAGCCAAGACATCTGAAGGTGGGCTCTCCACTCTTATAGCACGGCCTCCTCAATGACCCCCTAAATCTTGTACAATTGTCATACATGCAAGCTTCTGGTTAATAACAAGAGCGATGAAGAATCTATCAACTATGGGGAGATGGAACAGTGAGGAGACATCATACAAAGTTATAATCATCTCCGCAAATGAAAGATGAAAGTAAGATGTCTTCTTGTGTCGTCGCTCAACAAAGGCAGTCAGGAGTGAAGCGTCAAGAATGATGAGTGAGTAGTCGACAAATGATAGGAGACTAAAATCTCTTACAATTCGCCTGACATGTTCAGGCATCTGGCTCCTAGGAAAGTTCTTTATCTTAGACTCGTGGGATGCTGCCTTCAGCGTAGGACGGTCTTGTAACAAACAAAGTTAAAAAATTAGGCAAAATTATATCATGGGTCCTTTAAGTTATTTTTGTGTAACAGGTTGGTCCTTTAAGTTTTTTTGTGACAACTTGGTCCTTTAAGTTACAAAACATGTGCACTATTACCATTTTTAACACAAAAAAGATGCTAATTATGGATACAGTTATTTTGAGTGGTATGCAAATGATGAAGTGCTACTAGAAACACAACTTCACAAATTTCTAAATGTACAAAATGTGAGAAAAATGATGTAGAAATCAACCTAAAGGACCAAGTTGTTAAAAAAAAAACTTAAAGGACCAACATGTTACAAAAAAATAACTTAAAGGATCACTGGTGTAATTTTCCCAAAAAATTATCAGTTAGCTTTCAACACATCAGATAATAATAATAATAACAATTAAATTAAAGTTAAACATAAAATATGTATACATCTCCCTGTCATAATCGGTATGCCACATGGTCAGCATACTCGGTAACCACTGATCGATCACTGGATCCTCCTGAGAACTCTCCATCAGTGGGCATAGATAGCTCTATTGAAGCAGGAGTCGTAACCTCTATATCACCGCCAGTAGCAGTATCCTCATCAACAATAGGGGTCGGATATGTGGCAGCCACCTCATCAATAATAGGGGGATCTATCTTGGCCACCCCATCAACAATAGGGATGGCATATGTCTCTGCCACCTCATTAGCAACAGGTACCACATCTGTCACGACCATCTTAGTTGATTCAATAACAGTTTGGCCCTGCTTAGCATGAACAACCCCAACATCATCTCTAGGCTCCTAAGCATGAACAACATCATCTCTAGGTTGCTCATCTAATATAACCGCTCGACGTAAGCTGTTACGGGATGGGCAGAATTGCACCTGCTCAGCCAACCATTTCTAGTGAGAACTCGTTGGAACTATTCGTCCAGTCTGTAGCTGAGAAGACTCTACCTCAACAACCCTATCTTGGGTTGTCGCTCTACCAGTGGTTCTTTCAACAATGGTCTCGTCCTTTCACCTAGTCTTCACTGCAAAATGAAAATAAAAAACGCAAAAAAATTATTAAACTATTGCAAATTTAGAAATTTTCTACATATGATCAAAAATTCTAAAATTTCTGATACGGTCAATTCAGTGAATTGGAGGGGTGTCATGTATAAATGGGGTGGTAGGTTAAATCCTTGAGTATTCGGCGACTTGAGTTAGTTTTAAAAAAACAAATGATATAACAAACAAGCTATTTGTATATGAATGTCTCATTTATTTTTTTAATTAATTAAATTAAATATGGTTTAATTTATATTAATTTTTAAATATTTAAATTTTAATTGAAAAAAATCTCTTAATATTAATAAAGATAAAGGTAGTTTATTAATAGTATAAAATAATTTTATATTATCATCTAATAAAAATTTATTATTCAGCCACATCATATAAGTAACTTAAAAAATATGAATGTAATTTAACAGAATATATAATTGTGATTGGTTAAAAGTGCAAAATTATTTTACATCCTTAGTACATATTTTTTCCTCATATTAATAATATAAGGACATGGTAAAATAATAGATTTAACAAAAAATATATATATTAAAAATTAATACTTAAGAGTTACAATAATTAATTAGGTTTGAAATATATGAAATACTAAAAATAAATTAAATTAAACTGATACTTCTACTACTATTAATTATAAGAAAATTTTGGATTGAGATTTTTTTTTTTATCTCATTGTATAAGATGAGTTTAAAACTTTTAAGGAGTATTTATGGTTTAAATTACATTTTAACTTTCCCTTTTAACTTTAGTGGATGCAATTAATGTCTTGCATTTTTCAATAAAAGTAGGAGTATATATGTACAGATATTTAAAAATATTTAAATAATAGATGAGTTTATTTAGTTTTAATGTTATTTGTTTTCTCTTATAATATGAATATGAGACCGGGGGCTGGATGTATTATTTTATTCCATTCAAAATTTAATTTATTTCTAACAAGGTTTATACGGTTTTTTTTATTAATTTTTAATAAAACATTATTTATTTTTTCTAACTGTAGTGTATATATTTTTAATAATTATGTTTCTAGCATCTCTTTAAATGTAATGTCTTTTACTTTTCATTTATAATAAAGGTTAATACATTAATGTATGATAGAGTACTTTTGTAAAAAAGTTTTTTTCGATTATTTATATGACTTTTTATATTTTATAATTGATTCAATTATGTTGAAATGAAGAAGAGAAATTAAAAAATTATACTTAAATAAATAATATATTAATATGATATATCATACTAATAAAAAATAAAAAATATTAAAATTTATATATTAGGATTTAGTTTGTTTTAGTTTAGTTTTTAAAAATAAATCTAAAGTTTGATTTAATCCAATCTATTTTTCACAAAAACAAATTCAATAATATTTAGTTTTATGTGATTTTATTTTATTTTATTAATTTACCTTATGATTCTATTTTAAATGTAAACACTTATATGATTCTATACTATTGAAGACGAGTTTGATTGTTGATTAAATATTGAATCATTATGATCTTATTGGATAAGAAATGGACCGTCACAGCTAACTCAGGCAGAAGTTGAATGAGATGGAGGGTACCTGCAAGACATTCTGATGGCAAAGTAAATTGTTGAATGAGCAAGCAAGTATGAGTTCAGAGAGATGTTGAATTGAATACTTGACCCTCTTAGGAGAAAGAGTATTTATAGCCCTCAGCGCTGGGTCAAGGTTCCCACTATTGGGCCACGTTGAGGCTCAATAACAGGAACTGTCAGGGCTTACGTGTGTATGGAGTCCAGCAAGTGGACTCCCCCTGGTCAAGTGCTCCGCGAGAACAGGGTTGGACCCGTGATTTCCGGAGGGTAGTTTAAGATGGTTGTCGTGGGATCATGGGCCACGTCCTCCGACGGTCGGGTGGGGAGTTGCCCAGCGGTCCCTAACTTGGGCTATTTTTGGGCTTTCCGTTTGAAGGGCAAGTGTAGGCCCAATCCAGATCAGGAGCCCCCCAAGTTATTGCCCTTGAGAAAAAGGGCGGTGACTTGAGTTCAGCTCTCGACACCGGAGACATGATCGAGGAAGACAACCAAAGTCCCCCGAAAGGAACGGGTTGTTGCCTGCGTGGGGGATAAGGAACGAGCGGGCAGCGAGGCCGAAGGGGTCAGTCGTTTGATCGAGAGGGAGTTGTCGATATCTCGAGCATTACTTTGTCCCCGAGGTGGTCGAATGGATGTGCCCCTATATGCACTCTAATGTCGAGCATTCCCTCGCGTGGGTATCTGTCTCGTGCGCGTCTGGGGATGACGCATAGGAGTCGGGCATATGCTCGTCAGTCCAGAAGGGACGTGTGGTTTACAGTTGAGCCGCGTGGCTAATGCCTTGGGGTGCCACCCCTTCAAGGGGAAAGCCAAAAGGCCCAATGAAATGATGACCTTTCATGAGGGACCCCTTGGAGCGTGGGTCACCTATAAAAGGGGGCCCCTGGGTCTCATTTGTCATCTTCTCAAGTTTCCTTTCAACTTTTCTTGCTCGTGGTGTGAAGCGATCCTCTCAACTTCCCAGGTTTCCTTGCTCGTTGTGCAAATCAATCCTCTCAACTTCTCAGATTCTCTTCGAGTTCTTCATCCGAGTAAGTTACAACCTCTTAACACCATGTTTCTTAAGCGTTTCTGGATTAAATGTCTAAATTATACCTTGATTGGATGAACATTTATGAGTTTTATGATGAATACTCATGAATGTTCATTGGAGTTCATGGATTCTGCGTCGAGCACTCATGAATGTGCCATACACTTTATGAACGTTCATTAGCTATAGTGTCGAGGCGGCCTCCCCGAATAATGTCGGTAACACAGGGGATGGCTTACCCGGATATATGGATTATCTCGGGTGTTGTACCCCAAAATTTGCCCTCCCTTTCTTCAGGAAACCATCTTGGATTTTCAAGGTCCCTCTGAAACAAATCTAAATCCTGAGTTATCCCTTTGCCCAAGCAAGCCGCTTACAAGAGCAAGATGATCTCACAAACTCCAGAGGCAACGCTTTTATCTTGAGAAAAAAACAAATTCTAAGTACTTAGAATGTTTCTCTAAAATAAGTGTTTTTTAGAAAAAATCAGCGCTTCAGAACTTCTGAACCCATTCCAGATGAAGACGGTCAGAAGTTGCAAGCTTGGCTCAGCGTGGTCAGAAGTTGGCTCTTCAACAGCTACATCAGCTCAATCAGAAGTTGTAAACGTGGTTCAGAATGTAAGCCTCAAACAGAACATGCCCCTTCAGCAGTTACACAAGCTCAGTCAGAATTTGCTAAAGGAATGCAAGAGAAGCAGGAAAGTCTGAAGGCCCCTTCAGAACAGGTTGAAATCAGAAGATGAAAGGTTAGAGGAATGAGTGTTATACTAATGCAGAATCTCTAAGTCCAGATTGTCCAGAAGTAAATCCAAGGGACGTACCAGAAAATTAGGAGAATCTCCAGAGCTTACTAAGGCAACAGGTAGCCAAGGCCAGAGCATGGTTTATGCTGCTGATTCAACGCTGGTTTTCATTACCAGAACGTTGGTATTGACAGGTCTTGTCACCATTTAATGCCCATTAATGCTTCCAACCACTCCTGAGCATTCACGTGTGGCTTGGAAAATGCTTTTGCACAGATTCTGGCATGGGTCTTCACGCCACCGCCCACTTCAGAGGTCACTTCTCCCCAATCTACGCCTGCTGCTGCAACCTAGGCTGAAAGATAGCTGTTATCACAACTTCCCAGGAATTTCTGTCAAAGAACAAATTCAAACTTTGTTGGCGCCTTAAATGTTCAAGGCATCCACAAGAACTTTGCCTATAAATAGAGAGCTTTCACCACTGCAAAAGACGTTCAAGAAAAGAAACAGAAAAATTGCTAAGAGAGAAACAAAACTCCTAGCAACACAGCATTCTGAAACTCTGCCAAAATCTCCAGCTTTGTTTCATAACTTTGAGTTTCTCACCTTCAACTTCATCAAATATCCAGTTCTTTTCTGTAAACCAAAAACACTTTGTCCAAACTTCTGACCCTGCATACGTATATACCTTTACTTCCCCTTTTCCGAATCTGTCCAGAACACCACTAAAACCAGAACCAAAAGCTAACTTTCACTACTTTCCAAACAGTCAGGTAAGCACCTGCTGACCCTCACTACACTGTTAAGCATCATCAGCTGTGCATATTCAAGTAACATAATGTAAATATTCATGTTATTGCTGTTTATGTTCTGAGGACTCTCATACCTCAGAATGTTCTGAGCCAGTATAGGACTTGTCTGTGACCTTGGTGATTCTGACCTCTGAAACATTTTTGCTATTTTGCTGGATCTGTTCCAAATATGTTTCCTATTTTGTGGAGTAATAACAGAATTGCAAATGTTCTGATTAGTACAGGGAAAAGCCAAATGCTGACTTTGACGTTAGCACATCTGAAGCCTGTTTTGCTGTCAATGACATCAGAACCTCTGAGAGTTATTGCCTTTTCAGCAGAATCAGAACTTCTGGTTTCTCCACTAACAAACTTCTGTCTTACAGCGCAGGGAAATCAGAACTTCTGATTTCCCCACTAACAAGGTTCTGTTTTGCAGGTTCTAGAGTCAGAAGTTCTGACTCATCCAGTTTCACCAACAGGTTGATCATCTGACAGCGGATCTGGGTCAGAACTTCTGATGGCCTCCCAACAGCGCGCGGGCTCCCTC